AGAACTGAAAAATGTTTCCAACATGAAAAACTCACCAAGTACTTAGAACAATGGATGAAAAAGATCCATATCTTTGTCTTTCCTTTTGGGAAATCCATAACATTTTAAAAATGATAATGCAGATCCATATTTATTGACATAGACTTCCATGACTCATTGTTACGAGATAATGAGCCTTCAAAATTGTTGAGCATAATATGAGCCAATTTATGTAAATGTATGATTTCATAAAGAGACATCCAGAAGAAAAAGACTCACAGAAGACATTACCAAAATGTTACCAGGAATGCTCCATTGGTGGTGACATTGGAATATTTACTCTCCTTCTTATACTTTCCTATGTTAGATATTCTACGTGAACAATGACACCTACAAAGAACAGTACAAGAGTGACTTTTTACTCTGTCTCCCCATTTCTTCACCTTTTCTGATAACTTGCCAAGTCCCTTTTTCCAATCTCTGTGCCATGATTTGATCTACTTCTCACCTCTTTCTTTTATTCAGCCAAATCTCACTTTTGAGCTCCCCTTGTATCTCCACTTAGATGTCCCTCAGATGTGTGACTTAATCTGCCTCAAGCTGAACACATTAATTTTTTTCCCCAAAGTGCTCCCATTGACGATGTCTCCAATTTCACTCAGTATTTCCACATTTCATCCAACAAACAGAAAGCTGGGGCACCATTCTTGACTCTGCATCTCTAACCCATGACCTTCCTGTTGACCCTACCTGTAAATACTACCTCACATACATGTCCACTTCTTTCAATCCCCTGTGGTCCTACCCATCCATTTTTCGTTCATTATTCATTCAGCAAATATGGATTGGCCACCTCCTGTGTGCTAGGCACTAGGTTGAGAGCTGGCTCACAATGGTGAAAAGGACAGGTGAGGTTCCTGTTCTCATGAATCCAGCCCAGGTTCTAGAGAAAACAATGAACAATAGACAAACAATTGCCTCAGGTAGTAACTTCTATGAAGAAAATAAACAGAAAGTGTGATAGAAAATCACCGGCAGGGAGAGGGACCATCGCTCTTCAGCTAGCAGGACTAGGGAAGGCTCCTGGGCCCGAGGGCTGCATGGAGGCAGGCAGGGTGTCTCCCTGGGACCTTACTGTTATGGTTTGGATGTGAGGTGTCCCCACAAAAGCTCATGTGTGAGACAATGCAAGAAGGTTCAGAGGAGAAATAGTTGGGTTGTTAGAGCTTTAACCCAGTCAGTGAATTAATCCCCTAATGGATTAACTTGAGTGGTAAGTGAGGGTGGGTGGGGTGTAACTGGAGGGGGTGGCATTGGGGGTATGCCTTTGGGGTACTTATTTTGTATCTGGCCAGTGGAGTCTCTCTCTCTGCTTCCTGATCATCCTGTGAGCTGCTTCCCTCCTCCACACTCTTCCACCATGATTCCTCGAGCCCTGAGAAATGGAGCTGGCTGTCGATGGACTGAGACCTCTGAAACYGAGAGGCCCTAAATAAACTTTTCCTCCTCTATAGTTGTTCTGGTCACAGCAGCAGAAAAGCTGACTAAAACACTTGCCCTCACTCCTCTCCCCTTCAAATTGTAAGGGTGAAGGCATGAAAAGCAAACGGATCCATATTTTTACCTTCCTGCTTATAATTCTTGTCAACATGACTCACAGGGACCTGTGTTTTCTCACAACTGTCCCTGCTCTAACCGACCAGAACATTCGTGTCCCCTGAATGCATTTCCTCCACCCCTAGTCTCCATGTGGGGGTGCTTTATTCCTGCTCATCCTTGGGCCCCACTTCCTCCAGGAAGCCCTTTGGGTCTGGCCCTTTTCATAYGTCCACAGCACCCTGAGCATTGTCTCCAAACTGCACCTTTGATCACTTATTTACGTATCTGAATCGGCAGGAGGGCAGCCTGGGCCTTACCCCACCACTGAATCCCGATGTCTGTGGCAGCACACACTCGATATACTTGTGAAGGCCACCTTGCTGGCATGGCCTTCATCATCTGAGCTGCTGTCTCCAGGCCGATTTCTCCACTTTCAACCCTTCCCTCACAAAATCCTTCTGTTAGAAAAATCTTTCTGAAACAAGTGGCAAAGACAGGGCGATGAATTTAGAAGTATTAATGTCCCTGTGTGGTGTGTGTGTGTGTGTGTGTGTGTGTGTGTGTGTGTGTGGCAATGTACTCATTGATAAGGAATACATGTTACACAGTATGGAAAAATTAATATCAAACAGGTAAAGGCAAATTGAGGCATCCCAAAATACTAGGCCAAGAAAACATGGAAGACTTTTGATCCTGTGCAAGTTGCTATATCCTGCCATTGACATGCTGAGGGTTACAATTTTCATTAGAGCAGAACATTCCAGTCCAATAGAGAGCTACCGGGCAATTTTCCCAAGAATTTCTTTGTTTTGTTTTTTGCTGCTGGGGATAGAACCCTTCTTTCCTCTTCTCTTTCTAAGAATTACTTTATATCTACATATATTCTCCCCCTCACCAATTGCTGGTGCATGCTTGGCAAGTGCTTTACACTGAGCTCCACCTCAGCTCTAAGTGTACTCTTTTTTGTAGACAATACCCCTATTTATTTATTTTTATGTGATGCTGAGGATCGAACCCAGGCCTTGCATGTGCTGGGCGAGCACTGTACCCCTGAGCCACAGCCCTAGCCCTCTGAGTGTATTCTTAAAATCACTCAATCCCTTTCTTATAAGACAGCTTGCTATCCTGTCTACACCAATCTAAGTTCTTGAAAAATAACTGATACAATCCCTTTCTCCATTTGAGGATTTTTTGCCTTTAAAACTTGTTTGAAATCTGTAAGACCCCAGAATATATTCCAGCCAGTCTGAAATGTCTCCTGAGCTGCAGTTCTGCTCGGCACAAGTAACTCATTGTTTCTTAATCAGTTTGTGCCTCGATTTCTCTTAGGAGCCAGGAAGAGCAGGGCTGCCAAGGGAGGGGTATAGTTTACTCTGAGGCAGGAAGTTCATTTTCTCCCTTTGGTAGAAATTAGAGCCTGGAAAGCAGGCCCCGGACAAGCCCACGAGGGAGATCCTAAACCCAWGCTTCCTGCTCTTGGAGGAGTCTCAAAGTTTCCCAAGGTGTAACTCCTCAATAGACTGTAGGATGTGGAGTTGAGGAAGGAGGATGGAGAAGGAGATGAAGTCTGAACAGCTGGGGCCCCCAATCATGAGGTTGTACATTACTATTCATCATTCACCCACTTATTCATTTAACAAATATGGAATTGAGGTCTTGCTATGCATCAGACTAGATTCCTGATATTGGAACAATAGCAGCTGATAAAATAGACCGTGGTCAGCTCTCCTGGAACTTCCATATTGAAGGCTCTCACAATCAAATGTACAATTAGGCATGCTTTAGGCAGCATTAAAGGTGGTGAAGGAAAATAAAAGAGAATGAGGTTGAGAGTGATGGAATGCTACTGTATGTTGGCTGGTCAGTAACTATACTGCTTTTCCTTTTAGTATCCTCAGCTTTTATAAAGTCTCATTTAACCCAGCTCTTCTCAAATTTTAAGTGCACAGTATCACCCCAGGGTCTGGTTAAAATGCAGATTCTTATTTGAGTAGGTCTACACTGGGGACTGAGACTGCATTTCTTTTTTTTTTTTTTAATCTTTATTTTTTAGTTGTAGATGGACACAATACCTTTTAAAATTTTATTTCTTACGTGGTGCTGAGGATCGAACCCAGGGCCTCGCATGTGCTAGGCGAGAGCTCTACCACTGAGCCACAACCCCAGCCCCTGAGACTGCATTTCTGACAGGCTTCCAGGTGATGCTTTGACTGCTGGTCCCTAGGCCACATTATCTTCCAATATGGGATTATAGGAAAAGCTGTGAGTCCCTTCTAAGGCAGAATTAATAGGGGTGTACACCTCCTGAGGATGGTGGGCAAGACAGAGATGCTAGCTTTGAGGAAGGCAAACATCAGCAAAGTTGATCGTGTGAAGTCCTCTGCCTTTCCTGGGAGGCAGGGACTCAATCCATAGCCCCTTTGCATGACATTGGTTTGAAATCAGCAAGAGTCATGTAGTTTCCTTACAGGTTCTCCTATTCTAGAAAAGAAACCTCACATGCATAGTTTGGTACCCAAGGCCCTCCATGGCCCGACTCTTCCCGGGTTCATTTTAAGTATTCATGAACTCTGGGTTCCCGCTACGGTAATGTATAGTCCCCCAGCCCCCATCGCTTCCTATGACCAATCCCCCAGCAATTTTTTTCACCCCCAAACAATTTAGTGCTTCTCTTCCATCTATCTGGAGTTCTAACTCCCTCTCAACACCATGTGGTCAGATCCTATTTGTTCTTCAAATCCAGCTCAAACGCCACACCCACCTCATCAAACAGAAATTCTAGAACTCTTTGCCCCAACCTGTTTTGAGACACTCATGTCTTCCCGTGAGTTAGTTTTGTTCTTGCTTTAAGGATGTTAATTCCTGAAGAAAGGCCCATCTCTGGATTATATTCCCTTCGTCCACCCCGGCATAGCTCCTATATCTGGTCAGTGCCTGCGAATTGTCCTACGAGTTAAAACTAAAGTAGGATTGGATATATGTATTCACCACTGGTGGGAGGAGGAAAGGACTAACCTAGTGGTTCTCAAGGCATCCGCTGCACCTGCTGGAGCTAGTTAGACAAGCTAATTATGATCAGCCTGAAACCCTGGGGACAGAGCCCAGCAACCTGTCTTTCAAGGAGTCCCAGGGTGATGCTGACCGCAGGCTCAAGCCTGGGCACCACACAGTTCGGCCAAAGGCCTGAAATCCACTCCTCACCCTCCCTCGGTCACCCTCCTTCAATGACCCTTTACTTTGGGTCCCTGGGGGCTACTGCCCAGAAGAGAGGCAGCCAGTTTGGGGGACAGGAATGGATGGGGTCATCCTGGAAGCCGCAGGGAGATGTTGAGGGGAGAGGGATGGAGCCAAGGAAGAAAAGCAACTGGGCGCCCGGGAGGAAAGGAAGAAACGGGAGGGGATAGGCAGTCCCCGGGCAGCACCTTCCAGAGGTCATCGTCCCTGTCCAGGGCCGGCCACACCGTGTGGGCGGCGGGACTGGGGACCAGCTGMGCGAGCCGCCCCGCCCCGGCTGAGCCCCGGGACCCTGGCCGCGCCTCCCCGGCCCGCGACCCTACCTGCTCGTGCTGCGGGGACGCCTCCAGCACTGCCGTCCTGCGCGCCGCCATGCCGCCTTCTCCCCGCGCTGCCGGGCTGCGGCGTGCGGCGCACCGAGGCCCCGGGGTCCTCCGCGGCTGGTGGGGACCCAGCGGGCGGCGGAGCGGGCGGCCCCGCCCCGGGCGGCGCGGTGCGGCTGCGGGCGCTGGCGGCCACCGGGGCCTTGGGCACGCGCTGCGCCTCCTCCGCAGTGGAGCGGCTCACGAGGGGCGTCGCGGTCGCCCGGGGCGCCCTTTGGGACCCCGGCCTCGCGGTGGAGAAGCCATCCTGTCAGCGGGGTCTGCAAGGAAATGTCCAGCAACCCGCCCCGGGAGCTTGGCACSAACCAGTGGTTTGGTTATCAGGGGTCAGGGCTGGAGGAGGGGTCAGGGACAAGTAGGTAGCAA